CTTTTTGTGATGAATATGAGTTTAATGTTATATATTTTTGACGAGCTTGTTGGATTGTTTTTAATGTTACTTTTTTTTCTTTTTTACAGAAAGATGTTTTTTTATGAATATGAGAAAAAAATATTTCTTTCTTTTAAATGTTAAATATTTTTGGTGAGCTTGTTGGATTGCTTGTAATGTTATATATTTTCTTTATAAAAGCATGTTTTTTTGTTCTACTTTCTTCTTCAGTGTGGAGATGTAGAATGAGTTTGTGTTGAATGAATAGTATCAAAATATTCACGCTAGTTTGGACTTTGGAACAGTTACGATCTCGTTATATAACATTTTATTAGGCTAGATTTTATACGTCAACATTACTGACTGTTATTAAGTGAGAATCTAGGTAATTACTATAGAAGTCTTGTGAATTTGCAAGAATTTTCTATTGCTATTAAGTGAGAATCTATGGAATTACTGTAGAAGTCTTGTGAATTTGCAAGAATTTTCTATTGCTACAGTGATAATATATGGAATTACTGTAGAAGTCTTGTGAATTTGTAAGAATTTTCTATTGCTCTATTGAAGCCATGAATTGTCTGCCCGTCTGCCCCTTATGATGCAACTTGATCAAAATGATTAATATGAATTGTTTGCCTCTTATGATGCAAATGAGGCAACTTGATCAAAATGGGTAATACATGACGAGTCTGGAAGATGAAAAGAAAAAAGGAAAATGACTTATATATAGTCTAATCTAAGTTTTTCTATTTTTTTATTTTTTAGAATGTTTTGAGGGTTTTTTATTTTTGTATTTTTAAAAAAAATCTACTTGATCGGTTAGTCCGGTTAACCGCCCCGGTTAGTCCGGTTCCGGTTCGAACTGCTCTTAGACTCAAGACTGGTTAACCGTTCCGGTTCGATTTTACACTGCTATTACAAGTCATTAGCTATTTCCAGTCTCACTTAAAAAATCCAACAAATTCAAGATTGACAGAGGAACAAAAAGATGGAAGCACCCCATGCCATATTCTGCCGTGCCCTCTCAATCGCAGTCCATTTTATTGGATGGCGATGATCTCAATGTTCTGTTATTTTTTTCTTCTGGTGATCTTGATGGACTATGGCGACCACCATCCATTTTTGGCATATAAATGTTTGGCAAAATATTATTTGTTAGATACCGGCGTTTTCTGTCGGGTTTATATGGCCATTTAAAGGCCTCATGAGGGTATGTAAAACTACGATTATAAAGATGTGATAGCCCCAATGGGAGTGTAGTCTAGGGTGGTCCGTGAGGCATAACTAAAGTTGTGATTTACTTGAGTTTCGACTAGCTTAGCTCAAGACGATGTATAAAACCTATAGCCTTGGGTGTGGACAATCGATAAGGGTTTCGATACTGAGTTATCCCTTGATGAGGTAGGAGTTATGTCCAAAGTGGTTGGCCATGGGATTGGGTGTGACCCCTATGTGCGGTAGTTGGTCAAAGAGAACAAATGTCAAATTCTCATCATTACCATTGTACGACATGTACACTAAATAGTCATTCGGAAAGTGGCTCTCTGGGAGAGTATGTGTCATGTACATGCCAAAGAAATGTCTTCTTGTAGCACTAGGATGTGTTAAAAGGACCCATGAGGTATTGTGTTAGAGTAGGGCATGGACTTGTCTTTGGAGAGGAACTTGTAATTCATGGGTTACGATCGTGTCTTCTTTATTTATTGGTTGACTTTGATAGTTCAAGCATGAACCCATGCGGTGCGTTGTAGGTCATCAAAACTGTTGAGTCAATTTGAAAAAATGATGAAGAGATACACTTTCTAGAAGGGATGGAGTCTTCATTACATTTGTGATATTCCTAATCAAATTCCCATCAAACTTATTTTAATATGTTTAATTACATTTTATTTATATTTTAAATTAATAAAATGGATTTTTAGATCTCTCTGGATATTTTACTTTATTAAAAATTTATTTTTTAAATAAGCTAAAATTATTTTTCTAGATTTATTTATTTCATAGATAAAATATTTATTGATTTTATGTAAAATCAATTTTATTAATCTAAAATTTATTTGAAGATGTGGGGGCCAATTGATGGGAGCTAGTGTTGGCAATAGGTCGGGTATGGGTTGGGTCCCGCTGGACCCAGACTCGGACCCGTAATGTACCATGTGTACCTGGACACAGTGGATCCAAAGTTAGCATACCCATACTGATACTCGAGATAACACTTTGCACTCGAGAACCAGACCCGCACCTGTACCGATACCCGACCCATAACTGAGGTTCAGAAACTGAAACCCATCCCCAAATTTTATTCTCTAAAAAGGAAAATAAATGATAAAATATCTAAGCGGGAAATGGTTTTTGGGGCATTAAGAGATCGAAGCCTTCTATCAATTTTATTCTCTTTTTGATACGAGGAGTATCAGGCAAAGAAGAAGGGAAAGCAATCTCGTTCAAATCATGTCTCACAGGGTCTTTGGTATTCGTCCAAACCAACTGTGGCTTCATTCTTCCTCACAAAACCTATCAACAAAAAAACAAACCCTCAAAATATCTAATCTAGAGATAGAAACTAAGGTTTCAAAAATTGAGAAACTCAAATCAAGAAAGCTCTCAAAACCCCTGAACTAGAGAGAGAAATCAACCCCTGAACTAGAAAGAAAAACCAACTATGACTGAAACTGAGTATTCCTCTCTGTTTTTTCCGGCCAGGACCTGTGTATTCCGATGAGGATTGCAAAGCAGAGGCTAGGACCGAGACTCCAAGAGTTGCAGAGCAAAGGCTGAGGCTCGAACTGATAGAGGGATAGCCCGAGACTCCGAGAGACTGAGAGAGGGAAAATTGCAAAGAGGGAGGCCAAGATTTGGTTGGCTTGGCAATGGGGCTGCAGAGAGGGCTTGTGAAGCAAGCCTGGTTTTGAAATATTAAGAAAGTGTTTCAAATCAACGATGGTTGTTTTAAAAGTACAAAGTGTAGAGATTGATAAGAAGAAAAAAGTAAATTTTAATATTTTCTCTATACAATATTAATGATAATAGAGTCTATGGAAGCTGAAGGATAATGGTTCTAGTTCATTTCTTTATTCATGATGGTTGATCTAAAAGATGGAAGGGCTAAGATCTCTTCAACCAACATGTTTCCAAAATCTACGATAAAGATTAAATCTTACAATGATGATACAACCCTAGACCCTGACACCTTAGCCTTTTCTCTATAAATATTCTTTATGGAGGTACATTATCAACACTTGTGAAAGCCCCTCCCTCTCTCTATCTCTCGACCTCAGTAGGTATGCCCCACACTCTCACTCTTTTGTTTTCTTCAAATGTAGTGTTTTAAATTACATTGTGTAGAGAAAGCCCAAGGGGCCATGCCCTAGCCCCAGCCCCAACTATTGATGTATTACTTGAGCTTCTACTTTGAGTTTTTGTTTCTTCTATCACATGCCATGCTCTCGATGGATTATGCCTAGGCTTCCCAAATTGTGAGACAAAATTAGGATCAAGATTCCATGTACCATCAGTAGAGAAGGCCTGATGTGAGGTGTACAAAATCCATGAAGCAAGGTACTCAGTTATTCTAATGGTTCTATATGTCTTAATTCTTTATGAATATTATTTTTATTTGATTGTAAAGTATTAAGATCCTAGATTGTATTAGGGTTTAGTTGTGATTTTTGACACTCGTAAATGTTTTAGCCAGGATGAATAAAAAAAAGGATTTTTTCAATCATATATACTTGGCTAGATGGCATTGTCCATCTTTCATTTTTTCAATGACCATTGTATGAATTCGAAGCATCAATTGGATTGGTCATTAAGTAAATGAGATATCTGGTCCAATTAAAACTGGTCTCAACGACCTCCAAAAAACTTAAAATATAAGGGAAATACCATTTAAGTGCTCATAATCAAAGGGGGGGAAAATATCCCAATTAAAGGATTGTACATAATGAGACTACTTGACTACCTACCTTTGGTACAGGGAAATTATTTTCAACCATCTTATGTGAAATATGATAACTTGGGTGTGTCACAAAGTTTGAGAAAATTTCTTTTCAACTTTGAGCTTGATCAATGAAATTAATATTAGGAATAGGACACACTTTCTTTGGGTCACTGCAAAGTTTAAACCCTAGTATGATGAACCAAAACACTCCTAGAATGGAAGGCAAACTTCACCCCTCCCTCAAGTTTCAGGGTCTTGGTTGCCAAAGGAAAAGCAATTGGGACATTTTTTTCCTGCCCTTAAAAGTAAGCAGAGCACACTAAGTTTTGACAGAGCAGAGTACATTAAATTTCCAATGCCACTTTGATTAGCTGTGGTGACGAAGCCTTCCAGCCACTTTTTTCAAATGGATTCTCTGCAACTTAAAGTCCGCTGCTACTTAAATAAGTTGTAAATGATTGTAGCGTCAGTCAAGAAGCCACTAAAAGCTCATGGATTATGATGTCCCAAGGTTGATTGAGAGCCATTGCAGCCAAATTTTCACCAAATTCACATTTGAACATCTTTGATAACTTTGAAGCACCAAATTTTGCAGCAATGGGATGCATCTTGAAATGCTGGACTCACCACAATCTTCAATTTCAAGCCCTTTCCTAAGCATCCTTAGTACCGCAGTGGCCATTCATTGGATATTGAGAAACTGCACTCCTATATATTGATGTTATCAATTCTCTTAAAAGGGGATTCAAATGTTAAACCATATTTCAATCGCTCGAAATTATTGCAGCTCTTTCTACTTGGGAAGAAATAAAATCCACTAGGATGCACACTTCAAAAGTCATACATCAGCAATAAGCGAACATAGAGTAATTTCTGAAAAGGAACTATGATTCTGGCACACAGAGGTGGATAGATTGGAGATCGGCATGAGTTAAAAAAATTGGCATAAGCCATTGACGGAGATTGGCATGTGTTGAAAAAATTGGCATAAGCCATTGCCGGTTGGGGAATGTATACCAAAGAGGCACTAGATTTTGGGTGGAAACTTGGAGCAGAATTAGGCTCTACTATGATTATTGTGAGGAGAAGGCCAAAAGGTAGTCAAACATATAAAGTTACAGTTTAGTTAGGATCTTATTAGAATGGGAAGGTCTGTACAGAAACATGAAATTCGAAAAAGGGCAGCAAAATGATGTATTTAAGCAAGGTTGAGTTCACAGGATAACTGTTCTCTCTGCCTTTGGCAGCAGTTGTTAAGAACAAGAATCTCAACTGTAACCATCATCATGTCGAGGTTTCCACGTTTACAAGCTTTTGAATTTTGAATGGAAAGTTTCCTCCACTACAAAGAGCAAAATGTGATCTACTTATTTTCCTGTTTGCTGCTTTTGGAGATTTTTATCCCTGGGCTTGTAGTGATTGTGGAAGTGAATAAACATATTGGCATTGTATGTATCTGCAGGACCCGAAAGATGATGGTGGAGCACATTGAGAAGATTATCATTTAATGGGGAAATGGGGGCTTTAGTGAAGCTCCCCATGGCTTCGATAAGAGGAAGAAAGAAAAATATCCTGTGATATGACACATCGACAGAGCTAAAACGGGGTTTCACAGCATGAATTAGCTCATGATTCTGTGAAAGCTGAAGTTGAAGCACTTCTCTATGGCCTCCAAGGATTTTTTGTTCCCTCTTGCTCTGAAACTTTGCGGAGGAAACAATATGCGATCCATCAACCTAGCAGATACCCAATCGAGAAATACCCATGAGATTTATAGTGCTTTGAAGTCTCATCTGTGTATCAGTTCATGAGCGTTTCAGTTTCAATCCAACTGCATGCCATTCTCTCCCCACATAAAGCAGGTGATCCTAACGTAGCATTTCTCTTGTAGAAAAAGAAAGTTGTTTCTCAATAATAAAATCTACAAAACTTTTTCACTCCAAATTTGAAACCTTGCAGAAAATTTAAAGACCAGCAACTCAGTGACTTCCCCTGCAACAACCCCCCCCCCCACCATTCCTCCTCCTCCGCCCCTCTACACACACATATATCAAACAACCCAATAACCGCATGATAAACAACTAAAGAAAGCAGCAAAAGGAAAACAAACACTTAAAGGAGCTTCTAGCAAAAGTACTATCTGAAATGGAAGATCCAAACTTCACAATATCTATAACTTGCAGTGGGTTAAAGGCACAGATACACAAAACTAAAGGTAACTTACAGTTACCACCATGGGGGTCAAGCAAGGGAACAGCACGAGTGGAAGCATCTTGCAAAATCCTCCAAGAAAGCAGACCCATTTGAATTAGACTCCGAGTATCAATTCCTTTATTCTGTTACCTCCTTCCAAATCCAAATTCTCGCCAACTTAATCAGGAATTGGCCTCCTACTCAATGCTTCCTCGAACCGCCTACATGAGTCAGCCCTCATCTCGGTAGACATATCATTTTCAGGAGCAGGGTAATAGTCCTCCCTTAACTGCACATCCCTTAAGCTTGGGATCCTTAGCAAAAGCTGCATAAAATGCTCATGTGTAGTCCCATGTATGATAAGCCTCCGGAGTGTCAAACTCTCTGACAGTAGTCCGGCTCCCGGCAGAGAGACGCTCCTTCGATTCATTTCTCGGTCCTGAGGTGGCCAGTAGTCCATATCTGTGATACCAAGCTCTCTGATTCCATTCAAATAAAACCTCTCCCATAAGCTCAAGTCCATCTGCCCACTAGGTGCCGAGAGAGCATAGCCAACTGCATCTCCACAGTCAAGGTGGAGCTTCGTAAGAGAGTGGTAGCGTGCGAGAGATGCGAGCCCAAACGCCTGTACGCCTGGCTTTGCACATAATCGACAATCTCCTTCTACTTTGATCCTCACTTCCTCTAAGGCTGGGCAACTCTCCAGGCCTGCATTGACAAGCGGGCTCAAAAGTTCGCCCACTGCTATCCAGAGAGAGAGTGACTTTAGTTTGGTCCAGGTCTTGGTGCGGTAAAAGCCATTGTGAGTGTAACATAGGTCATCTGAGTCGATAGAAGACATCTTCATTTTCTTATCAGTGTGTCTGGTACAGGACTCTTCATCTTCACCATGATTCGTAAGAAACCTGTTTGAATTTGGGTTGTTAGCAAATTCGGCCTGCTGATTCCACACGCAATCAATGTGCAGGTGCTGCAACTGGTTGCAAATTGGCTCGAGTGCACAAAGGGTTGATACAGCGTCCAAACGCTTGCAACATGAGACTCTCAAGTCCACAAGGCTGCGACACAGACACCTCACCACGCCGCGGAGCCCGCTCTCGGTTATCTCTGGGCAGCCCAGGAGCTCAAGCTTCACGAGACGCGGGCAACCAACAGAGACCATGGCAAGGTCTTCGTCTGAGAAATTCACCGAATTCTTTATGGAAAGGGATTTCAGGCCATGACAATGGGCTAGGCCGCTAGGACGAGGATCTTGTGGACACAAGAGCCCCTGGAAGTGGCCTAGCTCAAGGGCCATGAGGCGAGGGCAACGCATTGCAAGAGCCTCGAGAGCAGGAGCTGAATTAAGCACATTGTGGCGCACATCCAGCGCGAAATCTCGGAGCAATGGGAGGGCGTTGAAGGCCTCGGTGAGGCCAACGGGGGTCACGTTCGTGGGAACAGCAGAGTCAGGGCAGGCCCGTGGAGCGGAGAGTGCAGAGGAGTCGACGAGGTGGAGGACACTCAGTTTAGGGCAGGCAAGGGCGAGGTCCACAAGGGCAGCGTCACCAACGGCATCAACATAGCGGGGGTCAAAGACGCAGGAGGCGAGGAGGGTGCTGAGATTAGGGCAAGCTTGTGCGAGGGCTAAGAGTTGCGTCGCCTTGAATGCATCGGTGGAGGGATTGAGCAGATAGAGAGACGATAGATTAGATGCGACCAGAGGGTGGGCTTCGAGAGCTGGAGGGAGATCATCAGGGAGCCAGCAATAGAACAGGGAGAGGTCAAGACGAGAGAGGTTGTTGCAGTGAGAGAAAATGGGTGCAAAATCAGAGCCTGGAGGGCCATCGGGAGGACGAGGGTGGAATCGGACGAGCTTGACCGAGACAAGATTGGGCCAGAGCGGGGCGAGGAGGAGGAGAGAGGAGGGTGAGCGGGCGTAGAGACAGAGGGAGGTGAGATTGGGGAAGGAGGAGGACAGGAGGCGGGCGAGGAGGAGGAGAGAGGAGGGATCATTGGAGGTGAGGAGGAGGGGATGGCCCCAAGGAGAGAGAGAGGAGAGGTCAAGGTGAGAGATGGAGGTGAAGGAAGTAGGGAGGAAGGGGAGTTCGCGGGCATGGCCACGCAGAGACAAGTGGATGCGGGAAGAGCGCTCGAGCGCCGCCCACTTGCGGCAGACCAGGGCAACCGCATTGCGGCTGCGAGTTTCCGTCACACAGCCGATGATGCTGCCCAAAATGGCATCCGGCAGGTCCTGCACTTTCGTCTCCGCCTCCCCTCCTTGGCCTACACCCACCATGACAACAGCAGAGAGGGAATTGCGATGAGATGACAACAGTAGAGAGAATTGCAGAGGGAGGGAGAGAGAGGGAGGGATGAGTGAGGAGGACGCAGAGAGAGGTTTATAAATGGTGGAGTGGATTGGATAGAGATGAAGATATGGAAATGGAAAAGAGAAAGAGAGTGTGGGGCCATTGCCAATTTTGTCGATAAGAAAGAGTAGGAGCTCCTCCCACTTGATCCAACTCTCCCTCCAATTTATTATTTTTATTTTTTGGAGTTTGGACATGAACTGTCGAATCCGATCCGATTAGATATATACTAAGACCCAACCCAGGACTATAAATAAAAATATAATCGAATTTTATTTTTATATATTTTATACTACAAAATAAAAATTTTATTTTATATAATGCTACATAATTGTTTATATTAATATATTTGGGTCAAGTTGGCCTCAACCCAAATCCAACCTCACTTGATAAGATCCACACTAGCTTAGACATATCAAAGTCAAATGAACCTATGCCCAACCAGTATTCGCAACATCAAACCAAAACGGTTAACCGGACATGGGTATGGAAGCGATTTAACCGGTCTAATCAGTAAACCGGCCGATTCAACCGCTCTAACCAGACAAGTCTTGGGCGGTCAAAAAAATATTAAAAACATAAAAAAAAATCTACTAAAATAGGAAAATATATATAAAGAATGATTGAAACAAAACTTCATTCAAATGAAGTTGAAAATTTAATGAAAAAAATGGATTTTAACCCATTCTATATATTTCAATGGCTATTTTTAAAAATTTAAAAAAAAAATAAAAAAAATATAAAAGTGAGTAATAATGACCAAAACAATTTTTAATTTTTACCATAATATAAAAAATATTTTAAAATATATTACAAATTAAATTTTTTATTTTTTAAAATTTATATATATATATATTTCTTTTAAATACTGATTGATTACCCTAACCGCCCAAAACCCGATCTAAACGAACAGTTAGCGATTAGATTTCAGACGATGTTACAAACAATGGGCCCAACCCACAAACCCCCGTAGGGTCAAGCATCGTCTCTCTTATTTATGGCTCTCTTAACCCCTAAAAAAAACTAGTGGAAGGGAAGAGAGAGAAACCTTCACCTTAAAAAACTATTAAGCTTTTAAGATATAATATAATATGATAGATATGATATAATAATATATTATATTAAGAATTATGTGATATGGTTATTAAAAAGATCTTTATATAGTTATAAAAAATATCATGAAATTACAATAAATTATATAATACATTATTATACGACCCCACCCGTTACCTACCCCTATTTGTGCTTGCTAATTTGGGCCACTCGTGTAACACCGCCATGGGAAAGCATATGACATTTCTTGATTTATTTTTAGATGTTGATTTCAATCCACTGCTGCCTTCAAAAATGCACCAATATTGCTCAAATTATTTCGGTTGGAAGCCCGTAGGATCTTTTCTTTGAGGACTCGATGTAAATCATTATCATCATCATAACTTTTTTTTCAATTACCATCTTTTGACCCTCTCGACTTTTATACAGGGTCTTCATTCTTTAAGTGACAAATTGGATGTACTCAAAATTAGAATACTTTTGAATGCGGTCTGAAAATCTTGTGAAACGGATTTTTAGATTAAAAAAAAAGAATGCCGTGTCAAAACAAAAATTACCTTTCAAAATAATTTAAGATAGACTTGAATTTTTTCGTATGAAATTGTGGTCTCTTTTCACCCGTGCAAACCTCACACCTAGCTTTCTTGCTATTTACCCATTACCCAACCACCCAACTCTCTTTCTCTCTCTCTAATTGCAAACCTAAAAATCTAACTCTCTCTAGCACCTTGCTATCCCTCTCTAGCACCCTGCTACCCAATTCACTATCTCTCTAAGAAGCTCCTCTGGTGCAGTTAATGGTTTAGTAGCACCAAGCATCTTGCATTGCGGAATCCAAATCTGCGGTGCACCATCATAATATTCATTCTTCAAGGTGCTGCCAATGGAGCTCTCTTAGTCTGATTGTGCCATCAAACACTTGATCATGTGAGCAAAATAACATTTTTATGGAAAGTGAGAGAGTTGACAAGATATTGCAGTAAGTAAGTCTCTCACGTACTTTCCTTCAGTTTTGAATCTCTTTGATTGTCTATCTCCGTATCGACCGGAGTCCATGATTGATTTAGGGTCTCCATCTTGTAATAAGCATGTTTAATGGTTCTTTTGATTTTACCGCCATTTCTCCTTTAGTTAATAACTGGAGTCCACATCTCTTCACAACCCGAAGTCATGAAAGCAGAGACCCTAGTTTTTCAGCAAATAAAAAGGTATTTTGCAGAAAACCCTAGTGTTCATCAAAAATAACACGAAACCCAAATTTGTAAAGACGGACAAGTTCTCGTAAAAAATACTAAGGTTCATCAAAATCAACGTAAACCTTACATTTGGAGTGAGGGTAAGCTTAATACACTGAACCAAAGTATGTAGAGAGAGAAAAGAGATTAAGAGAGGTAAGAGGGGAGGGAGAGACCATTTGGTGAGGCAAGAGATTTGGGACAGAGTGATACCAATCCATAGTGAGGGCTAAAATAAAATACTCGTGTAACACCCAAACGATTTTATAATAATAGAAAAAAGGGTTTGTATTTTTTTCAATTGGTATTTGAAAAACTTGCAATTTTTTATGGATAACAAATTCCTGACATCCATCCAAAATTGCCATAAATGATATCTTCCATCCATAGTTTGTGCTACATTTTAACTTCATCTTCTCTTGTCATCATTGGACGATTGAGATGAATCGCAACGACCTCTCAAATTCGTAAGTGTCAACTTGAGCAGACGATGGATTCATCCCAATCATCTGTTGTGAACTTAGAAGGGAGATTTTATGAATCTTTATGTTTTGTAATCTACATGTACTATGTTTGTGTGTTACATGTGACTTAATCTACAATCTACAAAAGTAAACAAACCATAAATCAAAAGGTATAAATCTTTGGATATAGAAAATAATCAATATTGTCACACCACACTAACAGTGAACAGAGAATTTACTACTTAATTATTGACAACTAAATATTCTTGCAAACATAAAAATACATTAATAATAGCTTATTTGAAAATTTAAAAAAATGGTATGTTGGTAATTTTGAATTACTTTAAGAGCCTATCATCAATTAAAAAGTCAAAAGGATCTTTTTAAATTTTAAATTGGGTTTTAGAGGCATTTTCAAATGACAAAAGTGCCTTTTCCAAAAGAATGTGGTTTGTATAGAGCCGAGGCTCTAAACAACCCAAATTAGAGCCCACCTTTAAATAGTATCGAGAAATGTAGTTTTCATGCTGGAAATATTTAGTTAGCCTTAAAATATATTTTCATATTTAATCATAAAATTTAAAGCTTCAAAAATAGTGTAGATCGAGCATATCTATGAAAAATTGAATAACTTAAAACTTAACAGTCCAAAATTGTGTTATAAGATGCACTATTTCCAAAACTTGAAATCCATTTTCTTCTCAAGTCCATGCATCTTGATGTCAAGATGATCAATTTGATGATATTTGGGCATCAAAACAACCTCTTCTACTCTATATAAACTTTTCCCTTTCCAAAATAAATGAACCATTTAAGGGCATTTTATAATTAAAACTTTTTGAAGCGAAAACAAATAGATGCTTACAATGGATTAGAAATCTCTAGGGCTTGGTGTAGCCGACTCTCTTAGACCATATTGGTACCGTAGATCAGTCGAGAATCATTTTGCAACAAATTTTATGTAGAGATTCTAAGATTTCATGAGCTTTTGGCCCAGTTTTGGATTTTTGGATTTTATGCACTTTTCCATCGACTTTTGATTGATCTTGCCAGATCCTTGCAGTTTTATTTTATTCAGAGGCCAAAGGATTGCCTGATAGCTCCTCTGTTGATCAAGCTATGGCCTTTTGAACCGTCCAAAATCATAAACATGATTTTTTTCACAAAATTAGACTTTTTCCTCATCAAAACAGACCTTGAGCATGATTTCACACATGTCAATGGAAAGTTTATTGAGTCATGATTGAAATGCAGCAGGTCTAATGTCAAAATGCCTCTTGGATGTGGAGATATCGTCAAAATACCAGTGACATATCATGGAAATTGTTTTTTTGTCATAGACCTCCCCCAACTACTCTCTAGCCCCTCAAGCTATACATCAATGGAAAGCTCTTATAAGGAAAACAACATACTCGAATTTTCCTCCTGGTTTGAGAGCAAGAATGATCTATGTTGCAGAATTTTAGCCTATCCCTTCTGGTGATATATATATATATATATATTAACTTCTGAATAGTATGCAACATTGTCAAATCTTTAAACAGGGGCAAATCGTGATTATTTCTAGGGGCTACCTTTGTAATTTGCCTCTTTTGCCACCATACACAGCTTGTGTACGATGCTTCATATATCGACCCTTCCCTAGCTTCTTCTACTGATATCATTTTGACCTAAATTTTGAGGGTAGATTTGGTGCATCAACGGCTATCTTGAGGCATGTTTTGGAATACGGCCCTTTAATTCATGCTCTATAGTGGATCGGGCATTATGGACCTCATGGCCATGGTTTTTATTTGGGAGGCCCATTTATCATACAAATGAAAGTCCTCCAAGTTTGGGAAGAATTACATGTGTTTGGGGGGCTTTCCTACCATATCCGGTTCTCTTGCCAGTCGTCCGGCATCTTTGGTACCGGATTCCTATTAGAATTGACAACCCCTCGGCCTACTTTGGTGGGCCGCCTTTTTTTATGGAACCTTATAATTACCCTCATCTTTTAAGGATTTAGGGTCAAGGTGATATGATGCCCTGATACCCATCTTTTAGTTTCATCAAAGGCCTATCTTTCCTACTGAATTACCAAAAAGACAAAAAAAAAAATTCATGCAAACACACGTACTTAAACTTAGTTATTTTTTTCTAAGGTTTTGCTACATGGCTAACATTCACTCCAATATGTTGTTACAATAAGTGGCTTGTGATAAGTGGATTGTTCAAGCTGCCTATCTCTTATAATTTTGATTACCAAAATGAATGAGGCTTCTCCCATGTCCTTTGTGTCAATAGAATCTAATAACAAGGCTTAAATCCGGCGTACTTTCGTGCCGGACCACAAAAAAATTTCAGTTTGGTGTAAAATTGTGTCGGACCGGTTGCGGTAT